AGAAAGATCTGCTTTCTGGTCCAGGTTCGCAGTTACCTGTCTGGATTTGGTTGCTGCTAAAGTAGGTGATGGGAAGGTTGTTTTCTGAGGAATTAGAGGTCCTGGAAACTCCGTTCAACTGGATAGGCCTGTTGGCAACAGTAACAACCTCGCCACCATCTCGACTAGAGTAAGATGCGATTTCTGGCTCTGAAACAGACGAGAGTGAGCAAGTGACCTGGTGCTGATCAGTCATCTGGTCGAGATCAGGCATATCAACCAAAATGGCTTGTAAAGAGCCAGGTGGAGCAGCAATGGCTATGTGACTGCCCTTTTCATGGTAGGAATTTATAAGGATTGAAAAAGTACATCGGATAAAGAATTTCATAGATAATAACCTAAAATTGTGCAGTGCGAAAATTAAATTTAAGCTTAAGTGGGATTGCCCCTAAATTTTGTGATATTGATAGATGAAATTTGCTTGAAAGAACCGAGCCAGTCCTTTAGGCATTTCCTATGATTTAGTTAATAGTAGAAAGTAAGAAAACATAATAAAATAATTGTTCGTTTTTATGAATGGGATTTCGAGATTACCAGTAGACCATCTATATATAAAGAATATTTACACTATTTAGTTGAGGGCTATAATAGGACGAGTAGCTGAATTTTCTCACAATGAGCCTACGCTTCCATTGAATTTATCAGAAGGTATTAAGACAAAGGAGAAAAGAAGTTCGTAAGGGGATAGTTAATTTGGTCAAAACCACAAAGAAAACTATCTCAAGAGGTTTAAACTTTGCATAGTTAAACAGTGAAGATAACAGGAAAAAAATAAAGGTGGAACTCATAAGTTTGGCTGACTGCCTTCCAGAAGAGACAAAAAAAGCTATCGAGTTAAAGGTTATCCATTTAATCGATGACAATGTGGAATTATCAACTAGACATAGGAGAGCGAAAGACACCATGAGGAAAGTGAGGGATATGGAACAAATAAAGTTGAGGGCAGAAAAGAGATGAGAAGTTGTACGCATTGTAGATCGTATGTCAAAGTGGTTGGAGATGAAAATAAAGAACGGGCCATAGGTAAGAATTTAAAGCATCTTATTAAGACATAAATTAGTAGTGGGCAATACCAAATATCCTAATCTCTATAATTTTGGCTGCAGCCATCCAAATACATAATATGCACCTTAAAAATGTATAATCATGATTTGTTTGTACCTTAAGAACGAGGAATTAGTATGGCCTTAAGCTTGCATTAGCTTACCCTAATCTGCTACAGCATATTTATCGACCTTAAAATTGTAGGTGAAAAATCTTGTGCTATTGCATATATTTATTTGGCTTTGCCAATTTTAATTAGAGATATATCAAAATTTCATACAAAAAATTCTACTGAACCAGTCAGAGATTGTTTGACCTTGTTTTTCCAGCATGGTCATATTAATAGGAAGACTTAGAGGAACGCACCTAGTCCGGAGTCCATTGTCTGCATGATCATTTC